CGCCCAAGCCAGCAACGGCCCGTCGAGCGTCCCCTCGTCACGTTGACGCTGGCCCTCCCGCCCCCGTCCACCGTTAGGACCCTGTGGTGACACTGGCCTTCCCTGGGGATCCAAGGTCAGCCCCTGTTTTCAGGCCGGCTGCTTGGCAGCCTTGGTTCCCCTCTGCCCCGTAAGGAAGCGTGTTCACAGGGTCCGGGGATTGGGGTGTGGACATCGAGGGAGGGGGCAGGTGTCATTCTGCCCCCTACAGGCTGGCTGGTCACCCCTCCCCAGCCTGTGACATCTGGTCCAGCTCAGGCCCCAGGGTCTATGCCTCCCACAGGTCCTCCCCCGCCGGGCGCCCCCCTCTTCCTCCCGTCCGTCCACCCGTCCGTCCATCAGGCCCACCATCCGTCCACCCGTGGAGCCAGTGCCTGTATTCGCGGGCCGCCCGGTGGGCAGTGGGGGGAGGGGTCCACTGGGGAAGGTGTAGGGAGCGCTGCGGAGACTTTCCTGCCTGACCTCCGTCTGTCCATCTGTCCACCCTCAGCGGCCCTTCGGGAGCAGGGAGGCTGCCTGGATTTTCCGAGTGGGAGGGAGGAAAGCAGGGAGGTGCCGGGGCGCCTGGCATCGGGTTAGGGCTGGCTCGGAGGCTGGACATCTGGCGGAAGGTCTGACGCCGCCTGGGCCCCGAGGGTGCTGACCCCTGGCCCCGGCCCCTGTCCCTGTGCCTGGGGGTCAGGGCCAGGCCATCTGCTTCACGTGTAGGGACTTAACACCTGTCCCGCCTCAGGACAAAGCCCACCCCGGGGCCGGCCCCGCCCTGTAGGTATTCCTGCCCTCTCCCTGGGGGTGGATGGCGGTGTGAGTCCCCAGGGACTCCTGTCACCCTCCTGCCGCCTCCTGTGAGAAGAACCTCCTTCCCAGGGCTCCGGGCTCAGGCTCGTGAGGTGCCCCCTGTCCTGTCCCCTTCCTACCCCCACCTCTCTGGAGCCTTCTGGGTGTGACTGCGGGCGCTCCTCCCCCAGCTTCTTAGCACACTTCCTGGAACATCCCCAGGAGCCGCTCCAAGGGTCCCCCCCACCAGCCCCGTGCACCCAGGGGCCGGGTCCCATCAGGAGAGGGGGCGTCTGCAAACAGCTGGCCCCAAGAGGGTGTGCGAGTGGGGCCTTTGGGGGTGGGGTGGGTGGGTGAGGAAGGAAGGCCCAGAGGGCTGAAGGGTGGCGGTCGACAAGGTACCCTCCCTGCTGAAGGCACGGACGCCCCACAGTGTGGGGGATGGAGCCGCCGCTGTGAGGCGGTTTTGGGGGCCGCAAGCCCGGGATTCCTGCTGTGGGTCAGATTCTTTGTACAAACCCCCTCTGGGAAGCCCCTCCCGCTGCCTCTGCCCCCCCGGGTCCACAGCTCGCCAGCCCCACTTCCTGGAGAGCCCGACCCCCTGGTCCTTGAGGGTGGGTGGCTTCTGCGCGCCTCTCCCCTGCCGTGGACACGGTGGGGGTCGCGGCCTGTGTGTGCGGGCCTCGAATGGCCGGGCGAGTGGCGTTCGGGCCCCAGGACAGGAGCTGGCGGAACCTTCCGGGCCCCCCCGGTGCCCCTTCCCCGCCCGCTCCCAGCTCTCGGGGTCCACCCTCACAATCCTCAGGGGTGTTCCTCTGCCCGCCCCGCCCCCGGCAGGTTCAGGAGCCCCTCGCCCGCCCCCCACCCCTGCCCCGTCCTCCCGCCGCCCGAGCCGAGCTCAGGTGGGCAGTGTGGGAGATTGTCCAGGTTGGTCGGTGGTGTTGGCCGGATGCGCCGGGCCTCCTGCCCCTCCTGCCCCTCCTGCCCCTCCTGCCCCTCCCTGCCCCTCCCTGCCCCTCCCTGCCCCTCCCACGTCTGGCTCAGCCAGCCCCCACCTGGCAGGGAGCTACAGCCACACGGCCAGCGCCCTGGCCCCTTTGGCTTGGTGGTGGCCTGTGGTCTGGGACACGGCACGCCCACCCAAGAAGTGAACTAGGTATGAGGAGGGGCAGATGACGAGGGGAGCGGTAACAGCTGGCGCTTTGCCAGACATCCAAGAGGGGCCGGACGGGACGACGGGCAGGGGCGGGGGCACCCTCCCGCCCAGGGGTCTCGAGCCTTGGGCTCGCCCCTCTGACCCCCGGGTTTTTGTGTGTGCGAGGGGTCCAGCAGCCTGGTGCTTGAGGCTTCGGCTCCCGTAGCTCCTGAGGCCAGCCTGGGCGTCCACGGGGGCGGCCAGGTGCTCCCCCACTGCCTCCTGGTGGGACCTCCTAGGTGTGCAGGGGAGGGGCTGCCCGGGCGAGCAGGGCAGAGGGGGGCTGGCCTGGAGGGAAGCTCAGCCTTCTCAGCCCCTCGCCCCTGCAGGCTCCTGGCAGGGGGGGCACAGCGGTGGCTCCCCGCAGGCTCCCGCACAGTGCCCACAGGTAGCCCGACCCCTCCTCCTGACGGGAGGCCCGTGGCCTCCCCCTGATCTTGGCCCGGTGCTCTGAGCAGAGCTGGCCCGGCCAGGGCCGACGGCCAGACGTTCCGTTCATTTTCCATTTCTCCTTCCCAGTGCTCCGCGGCCCCACCCTGCCCTCCCCTTCGCTCACCCCTGCCCTACCGAGGGTCGGGGGCCGGGAGGGACCTAGAAACGAGTGTCAGCGAAGCCGTCCAAGTCCTGCCTGGGCCGCCCCCGGGAGCCCCTCGCCCCCTCTGAGTCTCAGCCAAGTGAGGTGGGGCAGAGCGTGGGCAAGGGCCGGCCCCGGCCTCCCCGGCGCGTGTGCTCACACGGCACTCCAGGGGTCTCACCCGCTGGGGGCCACCCCTGGGCGAGGGGACACAATTGAGCAGGGGCTCCGAGCGTGCCAGCCTTGGGCAGGAGAGAGGGACGCCTCTGTCCCCGAGCCGGGGCTCCGCTGGCGGCACAGTGAGGATCTGGGGCGAGCCACGCACAGCCCGAGTCCTGAGACGGGGCTCGAGCTCAGCGTGGGGCCCTCGGGGTCTCCGTTCCTTGCCCGGAGGGTGAGCTGCTCGCCGCTCAGAGCAGGGTGACCCCAGGGCTCCACGAGTCCTCCCCGGGCGCAGGGTCCGGCCCCGGTCGTGGGGCCATGTCTCTCCAGGGGCAAGGCACACGGGGTGCTCGTGTGGGCCTGTCCCTGCCCGAGCTTGGAGTCTCCTGGCCCGGCTCCCAGACTCCGGTGGGATGTGGGTCCCCCAGGACGGGCGGAAGAAGGCCCTGTGCTAGCCTCGCCCCTGCCCTCTCTGCCCGCAGGTCACACTGGTCGCCTTCTTCGAGCCCTGCTGGTTTTCAGCCTCCTCTTCCTGGCAGCCCACCTGGCCTTCCAGATATGCCTGCACACCGTGCCCCGCCTGGACCAGCTCCTGGGGCCAAGCTGTGAGTTCCCACTGGGACCTGGGAAGGGGGTGCCCGGGACAGCTAGCTGGGGGCCAGGGGAGAGGGAGGGGACACCGCGGCCCCAGGAAAGGCCGGCCGCCCCGCCTCAGCAGGCTTTGCCTAATATGGGCCGGCCCCTGAGCCCGTCCACGATTTCTGTTCAGCCCACGTGGCCCCGTGTTAAGAGCCAGTGACACTTGGCCTGGGGCTGGGCCGAGTGAGGCACGGTGCTAATTCTGGACCCCGAAATCTGGCCCTCGGGGTAGCCTTGGCCTTCTAGGCCCCTGTCTCTGTCAGCATCTTCCTCTGGCACCTGGAAACGTGGCCGTGGGCACCAGGGGTCCTCAGTGTCCTGCCCCCCCCCCCCCCCCCCCCGCCCCGGGCCCCTCATCCTGCGGGCAGTTTCCAGCCGACACCCACCCTCCCGGCTCCGGAAAGGAGTGGCCTCAGCGCCCTGGACTCCAGACCTGTGAACCGCGGGCACCCGGTCCCCACAGCTAGCGTTGCCTGGCTCGGCTCCCCCGCCCTGCCCGGGCTCCTGATTTCGGGTGACTGTGTCCACACCGCCTTCCAGAAGGGGGTGTGGAGCGGAGTCCGGGGCCAGGTGGGCGCGCCGGTCCCGCTGCCTGGGAGACGGGCCTCCCACGCGGACCCCGAGGAGCCGTGGCCTCGGCTGGGGGTTTTGAGTGCCCAGCCTGGGCTCCTGGCTGCGAATCCCCACTCTGCAGACAGACCTCCGGGCCTTCGGCCCCCTGGCTTTGCCTGGCTGAGCCTCAGTTTCCCTGCTAGTAGAGGCAGCGTTTTACGAGCAGCCCAGAGGCCAGGTGTTCGGTGATTCCTGGCAGGGCCGTGGGGCACCGCCTGACCCCGTCCCCCCGTGCCTCTCTCCACAGGCAGCCCCTGGCAGATCCTGTCCCAGCACGTAGGGGTGACGAGGTAAGCCCTCTCCCTGCCTGGGGCCTCCAGGCCCTGGGGTCCCCCCTTCCCTTCCTGTCCCCACCCCCCCACTGCCTGGCACCTGCCCTCCCGACCGATCGGTGGGCACTGCCTGCCCCTTCGCAGGCTGGACCTGAAGGACATCCCCAATGCCGTCCGGCTGGTGGCCCCTGACCTGGGTGTCCTGGTGGTCTCAGCCGTGTGCCTCGGCCTCTGTGGGCGCCTGGCACGGGAAGCCCGGCGGAGCCAGCCCGCCCAGGAGCAGGTGAGGGCCGTAGGTGGGCCGGGTGCCCACGTGCTGGGGGCGGGGCTTCTTGGTCCTTCCGGCCGTTTGAGGCTCTGCGACTGTTTCATTTTTATACAGACGTGCACTTTTTAGTTTAAGGGTCGGTTTGTGTCCGTTACGGAGAGCTGAGGCCTCAGGGGTGAGACAAGGCGTGTGTCCCGTTCCTGGGGTGAGGGGCTACCCTGTGAGCCCCTCAGCCTGTGTGTTTGCCAGACCCGGTCCTAGGAGGGTTCCATCTCGGGGGAACTTGTGGGGATCCCACGCGTGTCTGTGCCTTGAGAAATTCGTTCCTGGAGGCCACGGGGCAGCGGGGAGTCAGCAGCGCAGGGGGCCGACCTCCTGGCCGCCAGGGGGCACCGAGGGTGGATGCCACTCCCGAGGGAGTGTCGATGGCCTCTAGGCACGGGGTGGGGGGTGGCGGAGGTCCTGATCTAGAGACTGTCCTTGGGGTGTCCTGCTCTGGGAGCTTTCCCTCAGCATCAGGCGTGAGGGTCAGGGCCCCTGATGTCCCCCACGGCTGAAGCCTGAGTGCCCTTCCGCTCCCCACGAGGGCTGTGGTCTCGAGCCCCGCCTGGCCTCCCACACGTGGCCTCGGCCTTGGAGCGGCAGGGCCCGGGCCCCGGGGCTCCGTGGGATCTGTGACTGTCCGGGACCCTGGCTGGCACAAGTGTCCCCTGCCAGGGAGGCCCCAGGGCCTATAGGCTCCTCCCACCCACCTCTGCAGGTCAGGGGTGACCCAGGCTGCCCTGCCCCCACCCCACGGGGCCAGGCTAGGATCCCACTTTCAGAGGGTATAACGGGAGCCTGGAGGTCAGGTCGCTTTTCCAGGCACTTGTGGCGGACGAGCCAGGGTTGGGACCACCCTGCCGCCTGCCCTCGGGTCACCCTCTCCTGGCGACCCCTCTCTACTCCCACAGGCACGTGGGCCCCAGGGAGCCACGGGTGGGAGCCGCTGTGTGGGCCCCAGGGAGCCGTGGATGCCTCCGCTTTCCTTGTTGGTGGAGTCAGGGCTTCCTGGAGCGGCTCTGCCGGGAAGGGGCCAGACTCGATCCTGAAACCTGGGGTAGGACAGGAGGGGGCCAGCCACCCATGTTGCCTACACCCTCACAGCACAGCACTGCCCTGGTCGCTCGGGGGGCCGGGCTCCGGTCTGCCCGGCGACCGGGACAGGTCACCTTCCTGTGGGTGTCCTCGGTGGCACATGAGAGAGCCTGTACCGTCTTGCTGGCCGGGGTGGCCGGTGTAGACAGACCTCGGAGCGAGGGGCTGGGGGTACCCTCCGCAGGCGTGTCTTAAAGCCCAGAGCCACCCACACATACGCGGGACAGCGTACGAGTGCGGCGGTGCATCCTGACACGATGTCACGTGCCTCTGCACGCACGCTCTGAGGGGGTGGCGCGGGGGGCGGGGACAGAGAGAGGAAACTTGTGCTAAGCCTCCTGTGGCCGCCTGAGGGGCCTGCCGAGTCGGGGCTGGAGCCAGGGCTGGCCGGCTGGACGCCCCGAGCACCTGCCTGTCCCCCCAGCGGCTGCCTCCGTCCCCCCCTCGCAGATGTTGACTCCTCAGAGGCTGGCGGACACGTTCCCAGGGCCTCGGCCAGCTGTGCGCGGGTGGGAACGCAGGCCTGGCTGCTGTGCCTGCCCGCGAATGCCTCCCCCACCCCTCAGGGCCCCGCGCCCCCTGCTCTGAATTCTGGGGTCCCAGCCGTCCCGCGCCCCAGGTCCCCTGGCCTGCCCCTGCCCCTGCTTCTGATCACTGCTCAGGGACTCCTCCCTATGGCCTCCCCACTCCCTTCCTGCCCTGTGAGGGCAGCACCTTTCTGGTCCCACCCCCATCTGGCAGACGGGAAACAGACTCAGAGAGGTTAGGTGACTTACCCAAGGCCGCACAGCCAGGAGGCGCGAGCTGGGACACGAGCAGGTCACCTGGCCCCTGTGTACTTAGTCTGGACGCCGAGTGCCACCCCCTGGGAGAGGCCCGGGCGTGGCATCCAACGTGCAGGTGGGACATGGGGGGAGCGGGGCTGGGCGTCCAGGAAACGGCTCCGTTCTGGGAAACCTTTGAGTGGAACCGGGGACGGAGGCCCGGTCTCCGTGCGGCCTGGCGGGCCCGCCTGCCCCTGGCTCTCCAGGAGCCCCACAGGCAGCAGAAAGGGAGCAGGATCAAACCGGGTGCCCCTCACGGTCTCCTCCGCGCCCCCGTTTCTCTACCCACGAGGAAAGTGCTGCTTCAGCCACAGGACCGTGAGGCACAGACGTGAAGGTGCTCTGTAAACCGTGAAGGGCGGTGACGTGGTGTATTTTCCCTAAAAATCAGCACCCGGGCCTCTCAGGACCCAGGGGCTTCGAGGGCGTGTGCTGGAATCTGCGGGGCCTGCCCTGCCCTGCCCTGGGGGTCCCCCTGATCTAGAAAGGGAGGTAAAGGGGCACTTGCGGGGTTCCGGAATAACCCGGGGCCAGCCGTCACCACGGGCCGGGGCCGGGCCCCACCTCCAGGAGGGCCTGTGAACTCGAGGGAGGCCTCCTCCCCGCTTGTGTGGCCCGAGTGCCGTGCACCTGACCTCTGCCCCTCCCCACGACCTCGGCAGGACGATGAGGACAGGGAAGCTGACGCCGGCGGAGCCCCCGTGCCGGCCCCCAAGCAGAGGTCTCGGCTGGCCACCCGGTTCCAGGTCACGGCCCACTGGCTGCTGGTGGCCGCCGGACGGACGCTGGCCATCCTGCTGCTGGCGCTGGCAGGTACCCGCTGGGCAAGGGGCGGGGGCCCCGGCGCCAACCGGCACGCGGGGAAGGGTCTCGGCAGCCCGCCGGGCTCCCCACCGGCTGCCACGTGGCCCGGACCTGACGCCTCGGCCCCGTCCCGTCCCGCAGGCATCGCCCAGCCCTCGGCCTTCTCCGGCGTCTACTTCCTGGTCTTCCTGGCCACCTGCACCTGGTGGGCCTGCCACTTTCCCATCGGCCCCCTAGGCTCCAGCACGCTCTGCGTCATGGTGGGCTGCTTCAGCGCCGGCCACCTCATCTGCGTCTACTGCTACCAGACGCCCTTCGCCCAGGCCGTGCTGCCCCCTGCGGGCATCTGGGCCAGGTGAGGTCTGCCTGCGCTGGCCCCCTCCCCCCTCCCTCCCCCCTCCCCCTCCCTCTTCCCTCCTCCCTCCCTCTTCCCTCCTCCCTCCCCCTCCTTCTTCCCTCC